CCTCTCATCTCCATTCTTTGAAAAACTTCATGTTTGTCTTGTTCGTTGCTTTTTTTTTTTTTTTTTTTTTTTCTTTCTTTCCCAGATTTTGCGCTTTCGTCTGACTGAAAGGGGCCAGCCACCGATGTTAGTGCATGGTAAAACAGGATGTTATTTACTTTGAATTTTGAAATAATGAAACTTGCAAAGTCAAACTGTGATATAACTGGTACATCCCAAATCCTTTTTTTTTTTTTTAACCCTCTGATCTTAGCGGAGGTTGCGCTGCTATGTTTGTTCTAAGCTATCGTGAGGTTGCACTAATATGTTTATTCTAAGCTATCGTGAACCTGGTCAATTTCCTGGCCAGGTTCGTGCTTTCTGGGCACTAAAATAGCACCAGTGGGGCCAGTTACCAGCAGTACTTGTGGCCTGCATGAGTCTTGGGACGACTAACTCGAGGTATAGGGGTGGTCAGGTTTTCCTAAGTTTTTTTTTTTTTTTTTTTTTTAATAATTATAATTGTTTTTGTTTTCCAAAGAGTCTTGAGACGACTAACTGGAGGTACAGGGGGGTGGTCAAAATTTTTCCGAAGTTTTATTTTTTTCTAAAAATGTTTTTCAAAGTCAGAATCTTGGAAATTGGAAGTTCTAGCCTCTAGGTCCATTATTCAGCAACTTCTCAGTCAGGTAAAAAAAAAGAAAAAAAAAAGAAAACGAAAGGAAAGGAAGGAAAGGAAGCCTTCCCTTTCGACGATAATGGCAATGATAATGAATGATTTGAATTAACTTGAGTTTACGGTTCTGTGCTTTGTTTTGCAATATTCCACATGAAGGTCAAACCCTACTTAGATTTATGGATAACGTAAGTTCTAGCTGGGTGCCCTGGAGAAGAAGCTAGGTGGATAAGGAATTCCAAAATTTAGGTTCGCATTTAAATAAAAAATAAAATAAAATAATTCAAATATGCATATTAAAAAAAAAAACCAGGTTGGTTTCTTTAACATTCTGATCTAAAAAGTTGGACTTATGTCTCCCTCCCCCCCTCCCTCCCTCCCTCCCTCCCTCCCTCCCTCTCAGGTTTGGTAAATGTGGAAACAATAGGCGCACACAAAGTTACATCTCTTTCATCCAAAGGAAGGGTAGATAATGCCATGGCACGGGTTACGGAACACAGTTGCAAAAAGTTGACGAAAATCTGAAAAAAATCAACCTTTTGTAAACCATGACATCAAACATGTGGATGCATCCTACCTAAGATTTTCTTTTAACACGGGGGCTTTTTCGGACTAAATGTGGGTGTAATGGTACTGAGGTAGATCCTGAAAACTTTCGTCGTTTGGCAGCAACTCCAGGAGGAGATGAGATTGTCATGTCTCAGGCAGTGAAATGGCTGCAGAAGGCGGCAGAGCAAGGCGATGCCTTGGCGCAGAATCAGTTGGGTGTGTGTTATGCCAAGGGGGAGGGGGTTCCCTCGAGGGACGAGCTCAAGGCCGCCGAGTGGTACAAGAAATCAGCTGCGCAGGGCAATCCGGACGCACAGTGTAACCTTGGGTACCTCCACTTCCATGGGATCGGTATGAAGAAGAACGAAGTCGAGGGTGTGGAGTGGTACAGGCTGGCTGCTGATCAGGATCATCCTCGAGCGCAGACCCACTTGGGCTACTGCTACGAAAAGGGGGCCGGCGTGCCTAAGGACCCCGGCCTAGCGGCTTCCTGGTACCAAAAGGCAGCAGATAAGGGGTATCCGCAGGCGCAACATAACCTTGCCTGGTGCTATGAGAAGGGAATTGGTGTGCCCGTTGATTATGAGATGGCGGTTTCCTGCTACATGAAGGGAGCAATGCAAGGCTTCGCTGATTCGCAAAGCAACCTCGGAATGTCGTATCGCGATGGACAGGGAGTGGAGAAGGATCTGCAGAAGGCAGAAGAATGGTTCCAGAAAGGTGCCGAACAGGGTCTGCGGGGTGCACAGCGCAATCTTGGATTCCTTCTGTACGATAAGGCCAAAAGTACGTTGAAAATTGCCTGTCCAAACCTTCGCCCCCACACCTTTTCTCTCTTCGTGTCTCTCTCTCTTTCTTCTTTGCACCTCTCATGTGTGGGCTTACACTCTACACCACGAGCTACTCTCTCTCCCTCTCTCCCTCTCTCCCTCTCTCCCTCTCTCTGTCTGTCTGTCTGTCTGTCTGTCTGCCTCTCTCTCTCTCTCT